TCTCTGAGGTATATATATATATAATTTTATTTGAAGAGAAAATCGGTATTTGGTCCAGTAGGCACCAAATCATCTTTCTCCCATTTGGGTCGAAACTCATGTGTACTTTAATTGATCCGAAGAGCACGCGTCATGGGATTCGAACCCTCGACCCGAAGGACTTATGTCAAAGGCCGCACCAATGAGTCAGGAAGTTGAGCACATATCTATGTTTATATATATATTCAAAAAATGACGGATGCAGAGACGTAGATAAGCCAGCCCGAGGAAATCTATCGGCGGTGACAAAAACAGTTTTATTTATTTATTTATTTATTTAAAAGAATGACCGGAGATTATTTTACGAGTTCCCAATTGTTATGAACTATATCAGTTGTGGTGGTATATAAAATAAAGTAAAAGAACGATCTTTGAAGCGAAAAAATGGAACGAGAAAATCACACCAGAAAAACAGTAGCACAGCGGAACACACAGATTTACTTGGTTCGGCAAATTGTCTACGTCCACGTAGTTGTAGAGGATTTTACTACTTCATAAATTTACACCAATCGATCACTTTGACTTACAAGAGAAATCTCTCATTCTTCGTTGTTCGCTCTCTTCTTCTCACTCTGTTCTTCTCTCTTTACACCGAGATACACCGAAGAAATTTTACACCGAGATATACCGAAGAAGACAAACTTACAAGAGAAATAAACTCAATTTCTCTTCTGCTACAAGCCACCAAGAAGAGGCCTAGGGAGAATAATTTTCTTCTTCTTCTTTCTTCTTCCTTCTGCCGCAAGGAACTACCTCTTGCACTTCTCTTTTCTCTGCCCTGAGGAAACCTTCCTTTATCCCGAGGAAACCGAAGAAGAACGCCATGACTTCTCTTTAAAATCGAATGAGAGTCGTGTGAAGCTTTTTATCACCAACAGAAGGGAGTGAAGCGTCAATTCGTGAACGTGAGCGGGAGTTGGTGGGAGTGGTTCGCGAATCGCTGGTGAAGCAACACAAAGCTTCGCGCGCGCGAGTGAGCGGAGGCGGGATCGCGATCTTCGCGATCGGGAAAGCGAGAGCGGGAGGGGGTCCAAACCGGGCTCCGGCACTAATACCAATCACCATCATGTTTCTAAGAGCTGATAGAAGAAAAATGGAGAGAGAGAGAGAGAGAGAGAGAGAGAGAGAGTAACATTTGTAGAGAGTTCGAGGAAATCTCCCTCATTTATTTTTTGACCTT